TATCTCCAATAAACTACTCAGAAAAAGCCACAATTGGCTCTGTAGCACAGGTGGTAGAGCACTAGCATTGAGCACAGAGAGGCTCAGGGACAGAGCCTAGGCTCTGAGTTTAAGCCCCTAGACCATCCAAAAAAAAAAAAAAGGAAGGAAGAAAGGGTAGGAAGGAAGGCAGGAAGGAAGGAAGGAAGGACGGCAGGAAGGAAGGAAGGAAACAAACTTGTAAGCAGCAAGTAGATCAGTGGGTTGCCTAGACCAGGAGGGCTCAGGGTATCTAGAGGTGATGCTGAGGAGAACAGGGCAATTAATTATCTCAACAAATGTACAATTCTGTGAATATAAAGTTGTGTGTATTAAATGGGTATGATATGTGAATTGTATCATAATTGAACTTTCTTACATGGATGCTGATTCAGCATTCCTGACTTTGCTGTTTTTCTTTCCCTTCAGTTATAGGTGGGCATTTGTTCCAGAAGTGGACACCAAGTGCCCTGCCTACCTGTCGGATCTGGAGGAGAATCACCAAGCGTGCAAACCCCACACTGTCAGGATTCTAGAACTTCTAACATTAAAATATGGGGTAAATATTTTCCTTTTTTTTTTTTTTTCTTTTTTTGCCAGTCCTTGGGCTTGCCAGTCCTAGGCACTGTCCCTGAGCTTCTTTTTTATTCAAGGCTAACACTCTACCACATGAGCCACAGCATCACTTCTGGCTTTTTCTGTGTATCTGATACTGAGGAATTGAAGACAGCTTCATGCATGCTAGGCAAGCACTCTACCATTAAGCCACATTCCCAGCCCAATCTTTTCCTTTTAAAAAACCTATTCACAGACAGGAAGATGAGGAGTAGGCAGTGAGAAGCCATTTCTTACCAGGCGCTGGTGGCTCACACCTGCAATCCTAGCTGCTAAGGAGGCTGAGATCTGAGGATTGCGGTTTGAAGCCAGCCTGGGCAAGAAAGCCTGTGAGACACTTTTTTCTTTTCTTTTTTTCTTTTTCTTTTTGTCAGTTGAGGGACCTACCTGAACTCTGGGTCTGATCGCTGGCCCTCAGCTCTTCAGCTCAAGGCTAGTACTCTACCACTTGAGCCACAGCACCAATTCCAGTTTTTTCTGCTTATGTGGTGCTGAGGAATTGAACCCAGGGCCTCATACATGCAAGACAAGCACTCTGCCACTGAGCCATCTTTCCAGCCCTGGCTGTGAGACTCTTATCTGCAACTAATCACAGAAAAAGCCAGACATGAAGCTGGACATGACACTGTGGCTCAAGTGGTAGAGTACTAGCCTTGAACAAAAGGAGCTCAGGGACAGCACCCAGGCCAAGTTCAAGCCCACAACCAACCAAAAAAAAAAAAAGAAGAAGAAAAAGAAGAAAGCCATGTCTTGTCACTTGATTTTAATGGTTTTGAATACTTTCTAAATATATTCTAGTTTTAAAACTCAAGATGACTCCAAATTTCATCTTTATCTTCTTCCACATTGCAGACAGCAATCCTAGTATAGCTTGCTAGCTTACACAGTCTCACAGAAATGACTTGCCTCTTAAGTTGCTCTGCCACTTCAGCTTTTACAATCTAAGGAGCCTGATAGTAAGAATGGCCAAGACCTTCAGTTAGGCTGGGCCCAGGGTAAAAACTCTGATAGAACATGTGAATTAAAGTCAAGCACTGGTGGCTCATGACTGTAATCCTAGCTACTCAGGAGGTTGAGATCTAAGGATCATGATTTGAAGCCAGCCCAGACAGGAAAGTCCTTGAGACTCTTACTGCCAATTAACCAGCAAAAAGTTGAAAACAGAGCTGTAGCTCAAATGGTAGAGCTCTAGCCTTGAGCAAAAAAGCCAGGGAACAGTGCCCAGGCCCAGAGTTTAAGCCCCAGCAGTGCCAGCAAAATAAAAAGAGAGAAGACTTAGAATTTGAAGCTTTGCCCTGTCACTAGGACTAGTGATGGGTCTTCCTGAAGAAGTGGTCTCTTAGCTTTCACTGCACAATGTGCCTTTTAGGTTATCTAGCCCCTAGGAAAGCCTTGTTGTCTCTGTACCCTGTCATCTCTGTAGTCTTGGTCCTTTTTTGCAGGAAATTAGTGAGTCTGATGAGCTCACCATGAAGGGTGAATTTCCTCTTCTGCGCCAACACTCTGTTTCCAGCATTAGGCAGCTGATGCCGTTCTTCAAGACTCTGAACTATGCATTTAAAACCCAGAGTCAGCTGCCTGCTGATGCCCCAGTGGCCGTTCTCCCAGAGCTCCCTGTCACCGACAGCCCCAGAGTCTTAAGACTGCTGGAAGAATGTGTGGAATATGATTTTTTGGAACATACTGAATGCTAACATTAGGAGCTTGTTGGATCCATTTACTGATGAATACAAGGGTATATTCTAAATAAGAAAGTTAATTTCAGATAATTTTCTGCTCAGCAACAAAACAATGCCTTGTAATATATTTGAATTCCATCCTGTGTTTCTTCTTCGATTTATGTAATGGGAATAAAATTAATATATTCTCTAGCAGCAGCAGCACACATGTGTAATGTGAAGTAAAGCATGGAAAGAATGAAGGAGTAATTTTGTTTGTGGGAGGAGATACCATGGGCCTCAGTGTATTTCTCTTAAGAAGTATAAACTTATTAAAAGAATGCTATTTTTAATGTTTCGCACAAATGTCCTTTAAAGCATTTATTTTGGTATTGCCTTTTGAAACTCAAATGTATTGTTTTTTGAAAATAATGCCCATTTACCTTCGCAGCAGAGGGGAGCACTTGAGTATGTTCCAGTGTATTCACCTCTTGCCCATTAAAATCACGTTGTGTTGTTTAACTGCACAAGGCGTGTGTGGTCTTACAATTCTGACAGCTGTAACGTTCGTTGTGCAGCATGATGTACCTTCCAGGCCCTGTTGAATCCATTCAGGCAGTGGAGTCATGGATGTTGAATGCTTGAAACTGCTATCAGGACTCTTCCTGCACGCTCTTCTCTCCAGATCAATTTACCTCTTTGCAGACATCACTCTACATTAGACTAATCCTCTGCTTTCATAGCATCTGATCCCACTCTCACAAGCCTGTCTGCTGCCAGCTACTTGACTTCCATCCTGGCTGGGAGCCATTTCTGTGCAATAGGAGCTTTGACTCCCTGCCAGGCAGCCCTGTGCAGTCCAAATTCCAGGCAATAAGAATTAATTATGTAAAATGTAGACACTGAATAATGAAGAAAGAAAAATTGCCAGGCGTTGGTGGCTCATGCCTGTAATTCTAGGTACTCAGGAGGCTGAGATCTGAGGATCTTGGTTCAAAGCCAGCCTGGGCAGGAAAGTCTCTGAGACTCTTATCTCCAATAAACTACTCAGAAAA